AATGAGATCTTGGGAGTGAAAGGGCCCATTATACTTTTCCAACTGAGTTGACCAATTGAACCACACAGTCTAATTTTGTTCCTTGTGTGTTTAATAATTTTACACCTCACCACATTATGATGGAAACCTAAGCCATATTTATGCAAAGGTAAGAAATATGGATAAAAATATGAAAAAATGTGCATGTATGTACAAAATAATATAAACATCACAAAACACTAGTCTACCTCTTTATGGACTACAGGTTGATCAATTTTCAATATTAAACTTATCAGGTAAGTCCTAGTTACAACACATGCTGTAATATATTATTAATACTTTTGTATTGTTTCATCATAGCCCCTCAGATAGGAAAGAGAGGGGGAAACTGTTAATTTAACCTGTATTTAAAATGGACCTTTATCCTAGATGGCAACCACCTTAAAAAAAAAGTAATTGGTAGGAAAAGAAATTGTCATCTAAATATTGTGATCATTTCAGGGTTTCTAACAGTTTCCTGTGCAGTTAACAAGTCTGGTGATTGTAATTTTCCACTGCCATTGAGGACACAGGTCCTTTGACAAAGTGCTTGAAAGAAGGCTCTGTGTGATCGCTAACTCTCCAGTGAAATTTTCCCCTTTTTTAATTATACATCAAAGCTGGAACACACTAAGCATTATTCTTTACATTCCTCTGGCTGGGTGAAACAATATCACAAAGGAAAGTTGTTCTTACACATGGCTAGACCCTAAAAATGGTTTCCATGACTCTTGGGGGCAGCTTTTTAATTGCATACCCCCATTACTGACTTTGCTATGAATATTTGGCAATCTATCTACAAACAGTGTTAATTCTCAAATTCTAAACTATTGCACATGATAAACATGCTTGGTTTCATTGTGTGTGATAAGGGTATGATTGTGAGGGTCAGCTATCTATAATTAGTTACCAAAGGTGAGCAGGAAGCTGCTGTAACACATTGCGGGGACATTGCAGTGACTTAGAGATTTTGGTCTGTGACGGGGCTTTGTAGCTGCTATGCATTGCACAAATTCTAACAGGAATTCTTGTGATAATCATTGTAATAATAGGAGTCATAGCTGCATGATTTGGAAGAAGTATGCACAAAACCATTTAACAGAGATACCCATCTCAGGGACTTGTCACCTAGTGTGTTCCGCACTGTATGCAATTGCATATACAAATCTGGCTTTTGATCTGAAGTCACCATGGAGACTAAATTCCAACTGCATCTTCAATACTATTGTTAAATGTACATGAGATCACCACATACACCTAATGACAATGTGGAACCAATCACACTACAGACCTGAAATGAAGTATTTTTACCTTCTGACACTTGAAACAGTCAATGCCCTTTCTAACTTTCTAAGTTTTTTGGGTGCAACATGATTGGTTTTTCACTGCCAAAGTTACCTGGGCATGGCAGTCTTGTTACAAAGGTTAAGTCCAACCAAAACTGAATTAAAAACTAGCAAAAGACATCTTCTGTTTTAATATTCACAATTTAAAGATTCTATTTGGAGGATACTGTTCACATTGACTTGCAACTAAAACTATGTGGTAAGAACACAAGAGCAAATCTCAAAAAATGCACCTTAAAATACCCAGCATGGGTCCCTGGCATATGTATATGGCTCAATTAAGGATAATTTTGGGACAGCAACCCCTAAAAATATTTTTTCAGAGCCCTCATTGAACAATGCACCCAGTCTGCAACAAAATAAAAATCAACAAGCAGTTGAGTGGGCCAAGAGATTGTCGGTAAATAGAATAACACCTTTACTTCTATGAGGTGTCTTGAGGATGATACTACAAGCAGGTACATGTAAAACCCATTTCTTGTCACGGCTAAAAATAAAAAAAACTGCTATAACCAGTCATTCATTCTTACTATTGTGACACAGTCATCAAAAGAAGTTTGATGCATGTCAAACAGCATACCTTCTAATTGAAGGTAAATTCTTCTCTTAGAGAAAACGTCACAACATTAGCTGGTCATGATTCATCATTATCATTCACCACAGTTTCTTGGTGATACTCGATATTTTTTTCATAATTGTAAACCTAGAAGTTGTAAGTGGGAGAGGGCTCGTCCATAAAGTTATTATCATCATCGTAGACATTGAAGAAGTTTGCTACAGGCCCCTGGACCTTGCATCCAAAACTTTAAGAGGGAATAGGATTTTTTTGTTGGATTTACAGGAACAAACTTTGAGTATAATTCAAATACTAGCATATTACTAATTGGTCCAATACAATCACAGAGAATACTCACACTATAATAAATTTGAGCACTTCCTCAATGAGAATGGTAATGTTCCTTTTCATCCAAGTCAAAATAAATAATTTTGTAGGAGTCCTGGATAAAAAGGAAAC